TTTGTTTTGCTATCTTTGTGGGGCCTTTGCATTGACTTCCATTCATTTTTCATTCATTTCTATAGCCTAACCATGACCTTTATCCATAACCTAACCATTACCAGTACATACCTAACCCTAAACCTAACACATCCTCAATTCACACCTTAGTCCTAAACCTAGCCCCTAACCCACCAATGGGACTTCTTCTTATGGGGCCCGGGCTTTGGGCCCCATAAGGAGCAGTTGGTCCCCACAATGTAGTATAAGTTGGAAAAATGGGCCTCACAAAGTAGCATAAACAAGGACACACACACACACAGGTTTGTTTTGCTATCTTTATGGGGCCTTTGCATTGACTTCCATTCATTTTTCATTCATTTCTATAGCCTAACCATGACCTTTATCCATAACCTAACCATTACCAGTACATACCTAACCCTAAACCTAACACATCCTCAATTCACACCTTAGTCCTAAACCTAGCCCCTAACCCACCAACGGGACTTCTTCTTATGGGACCCGGGCTTTGGGCCCCATAAGGAGCAGTTGGTCCTCACAATGCAGTATAAGTTGGAAAAATGGGCCTCACAAAGTAGCATAAACAAGGACACACACACACGTACACAATAGAATGTGATTCAGAACACTCTTCATCAGAATAAATAAACAATACAAAAATGGAAAAGATAAATTTCTATATATCACATAAGCAGTAAATGTAAACTAGTTCCTGAATAAAAACTCAAACCATGTCAGACTTTCATGCTCAAATGAAATATAAAGTACAATGGATGGATCAAAGCAGGTGCATTATTTATATTAGACAAGAAATGTAAAAACGATTGTCAAGCCTGTGAACTTCACCACTAAACTACATCATCAGCTGAATGTTTGACCACATGGGGGCACTTATTGGATCAAAACCTTGTCTTTTTTTTAGACTGTGGCACCAAAAATACTAAAATCCTTTGGATCAACTCTGCAAAACAAATTTTGTAGATGCTAACTTTTTTCCCTCCTCTCTCTGATTAGAGACCAGACGAAATGGAACTGGATTTGTTGAAGGTGGACTTGAACTTGGCAAAGATTTAAACCCGTCTGCTTCATTCAAGCCGGAACGGCACAGCATCAGACGCAGCCTGCAGCCGGCCCGGTCAGAAGCCCAGGAGGAACATCCGGGCTGCGTGAACAAAACAGCAGAAAGATGTGAGGAGACTACAACCCCTGAAGAAGACGACCAAGCGGTGGGAGGAAATGATCAGACGGGGTCCAGAAAACTGGAAAACGATGTTTAGAAAATAAACCTGAGCTTTATTTATCATAAAACAAGCTCTGAGCTTTAACGGTGAACATGCAAAGCAAATCCACATCAACCCATGTCATTATTAGAGTTTAGACAACTTATATATAACTTTTTGTAAACCCTGTGATGAAATGTAGAATTGGTGTTTGCCTTTCCTATCTTTAAAATAAAACAGTTTGCACATTAAGCTCAGAGCTGTGAGTGACGAGGTTTAATCTCATCGTGATCGATGATGCGACGAGGCCTCACCGTGGTTTCTGTGTTTAGTTTTGTGCTTTGGCTTGTTGACTTCCAGGAACAGCCTTAAAGGATGCGCCGGAATGGATGGTGCTAATCACCGCTCTAATTACATCATCTGTGCAAACATAGCACAACTTCCATGGCTTAACAAAGATTCAAACCTCTTGTTTTGTGGGTTCGAGCTGACCTACAGCCATCTTTCTATTCATACTGTTTGGTCATCTGGTTCTACTCTGCAAACCTCTGAGATGTGGGTCGCTTTAGGCTAATTAGGCTTTCCATCCTAAAATGAGCTTTGGGATTGTTTCGTTTTGCAATGGTTCAGTTAATAAGAGAACAGTTTGTTTGTGACTCCTCAGACTGATGAAGCCCTTCGGATGGAGGGCGAAACATCTCTCAAGAAAAAAAAAAAAGAAACTGTCCAGATGACCTGACTGAACATTGTTGGACAAATACAGATCCATCATTTCTTGAAGGAATCACTAAAATTAGAAACATCTTATCTAAAAATGATGCAGAAAAACTGTTTCACACATTTGTCACGTCTAGACTGGACTATTGCAATGGTTTGTTATCTGGGTGTCCAAATACTTCTTTAAAAAGTCTTCAGTTGATCCAAAATGCTGCTGCCAGAGTCTTAACTGGAGTTAGTAGGAGAGATCATATCTCTCCAGTTTTAGCTTCTCTCCAATGGTTCCCTGTCAAAAACAGAATTGAATTCAAAATCTTATTTCTAAGCTACAAAGCTCTCAACAACCTAGATCCATTTTATGTTACAGATCTTATTGTTCCATGTTTCCCAACAGAGCACGTTTCTCTCAAACTGCAGGCTTACTCGCGGTTCCTAGAGTTTCCAAAAGCAGAATGGAGGAAGCTCTTTCAGTTATCAGGCTCCTCTCTCTTGTGGAACCAACTTCCAGTTTCTGTCCATGAGGCTGACACATTGTCCAGTTTTAAGACTGGGTTTAAGACTTTCCTTTTTGATAAATCCTATAGTTAGGATTGGCTTGTTATGCTGCCATAGGCTTAGACTACTGGAGGACAAATTGACCTCATTTCCTTAAATTAATTGTTAAAATTGAATCATTTTCATTTGATGTTATTTCTATCTTCATGTGTGATTCTCGAGCTGCCATTGCGTATCTGTTCCTCTCAAACCCAGCCGGTCGAAGCAGATGGCCACTTGTCCTGAGCCTGATTCTGCTAAAGGTTTCTTCCTCATGAGGGAGTTTTTTCCTTTCCACTGTCACCTTCATGCTTGCTCGAGATGAAAGTTCTGTGAGCAGTCTGCTCCTCAGATAAATAATGTTAACTTACTTTTTATGTATATTTCTGTTCAGTGCCCTGAGATGACTTCTGTTGTGACTTGGTGCTATATTAATAACCTGAATTGAATTGAATTGAACTGAATTGAATTGAATTGAATTGAACTGGGCAGCACGGTGGCGCAACTGGTAGAGCTGCTGCCTCTCAGCGAACAGGTCCCTGGTTCAAAACCCGGTCCAGGGACCTTCTGGGTGGAGTTTGCATGTTCTCTCCGTGCATGCGTGGGTTTTCTCCGGGTACTCCGGTTTCCTCCCACAGACCAAAAACATGCATGTTAGGCTGATTGGTAACTCTAAATTGTCCCTAGGTGTGAGTGAGAGAGTGAATGGTTGTTTGTCTCGTTTGTCTCTATGTGGCCCTGTGATGGACTTGCGACCCGTCCAGGGTGTACCCGCCCCTCGCACAGTGATTGCTGGACATGGGCACCAGCGACCCCTGTGACCCAAAATGGAATAAACGGGTAAAGATAATGGATGGATGGATGGATGGATGAATTGAACTGAACTGAACTGAAGGAATGAGCATAGCAAGATTTAGACAGCGGTCATCATGTGTTAAAAAATCTTAAAGTTTTACATGTTTTGGTGGAAAATAACGTTTTGAAAGATTTCCTGCAGCGTTGTGTGATGCCATCCTCAGACTATGAGTTGTGAATGACTCTCAGCTACTACCACAGCAAATTTTAGCTCAACATCTGTCAAATGTACTGACTTATAGCCATTTTTATGTTGGTAATGTTGAATCGAGGTGGCGGCCGTCTTGAATTCAGTTTGGATTCAGAAACTTTGGAAACGAACAAGATGTGAGACTGTGTTCAAACACAAGAGGCTCACAGAAACACATTGTTTATGTCAAATTCAAGTTGGAGACATAAGATGTTTCACATTATGACTCAGACTTTCCTTACATTTACCAGAGACGATCATACGCCCCACTCTTCCACAATCTGATGCTAATTTCTCCTCCATCTCTCGGCCCCCTCCCCAACATTTTCCTCTACTCAGGGTCTCTGTTCACACAGTTTCAGTGTAAAAGTGCTTACATGTGCAACTGTGTGTCGATGTGTAAATTGTGCCTTTTTTCTTTTTAGACATTCCAGTTCTTTGTGGCCATAAAGCTTTTTGTTTTTGGCTATAAGTTTAAAGTGTCCCCCCACCACCCCCTTCTCCTCAAATGCAACTCTCCTGAGGTTTAAATGTGACAGTCAACTTTTCTGGAGCAGTAAAGAACCAAGGACGGAGACAATTGTGCAGATTTGTGAGCGTGTGTGTGTTTTAATGACAAAGACCCCAGCTCTGGATCTGGAAGTAATCATGTCGTCCTGGCTGCGCTCCACGGCCCCCCTCCCTGTGATGTAACCAGAGCATTTTTATTTATTTATTTTTGTTTGTTTTCAGGAGGGTTTTCATTTCATTGAAGGGATTTTTCGAAGTGTCTTTTCATACTTCCTGTTTGCTCGTTCAGTTTTATTTATGTTAAAGCAGACAGGTATGCTTTGCGTTGCAGCGAGGCTCATTTCTCTCAATTTACAGGGGTTTAGTTGTGTGTGTGTGTGTGTGTGTGGGGGGGGGGGGGGGGGGGGCTGTCTTTCAGTCCCAGCCACAGGGCCTCCTCCCACCTCCACATACAGTCCACATGCTGACACAATCCAAACATCCACATTTTTTACATCTTCAACGCCTCTTCTCATGTGTTCTCCACACAATGAGGGAGGATTTGAGTGTAAACTCACAGATAAATCAGTAAAATAAAAAAATAAAAACTCTTGAGATAGGACAGTTGGAAATGTAGGATGGACGCTGTCACGAGACTCACAGCCCTCTGCGGTGATTCACTCAGAGCTGGAACATGATCTGACCACATGATATCGATTACAGAGGAGCCAAAGGTCAGGACTCGCCTCTCAAAGAAACAAAACGTGTCAGCAGGAGAGATTAAAGATTGATTCTTCATCCAGATCTAAACTTCTTCTGATAAAGCTGCTTCCAGTCATGTGGACAGTTCTCTGCCCAGCCAGAGAGGGGCAGCAGCTGGAGCCTCCTGCTGCAGAGTAAACACAGCCGCTGCTCCTCTCTCCCCTCTTGAAGGTGGGAGGGGAGAGGGTCCCCTGTCTGCTCCTTTGTCATGGGAAGACTTTGCTGTTTCAGAAGGAGGACTGCAGCTCTCACACACAGACACTCGTCAGAGAAGCTTTCAACCATGTAACCAAGGCACAGAACAGAGGTCAGTCTCTTCTTTTTAAAACCTCAAATCTTATTTTTACTCTTTTTTTAAGTGCATTTGGTTTTTTTTTAAAGAGTGATGCATTTACATCAGGTCATCTTCACTTACATAACTTACATAAGTCATCTTCTGCACAGATGTTTTATTCTTTGGTAAAGTGTGCCAAACTGACTTCAGCTTGATAATGGAAGAAATGGAACAAATGTTTATAAGTTTCTTACACGAGAAGTGTGGAAAGATTCACAAATTTCATTTTTGACCCAATTTGACTTTTATCATTTATAGTGCAACTATAAGACCTGTTGAGTTCACAGTCAAGAAAAACGACTAATCAATAAAAAGCATAAAACTCAGGTGGTAATTAAAATGCATGTGCAGTGTACTCCAGATTACTTAGTGATCAAATGACTTAATTGTAACTTACATTTGTAATCTGATTACATGCTTTACTTCTCAGCCCTTCACTCTCCAAACAGCTCAGTACCTTCCTGTTTTTTATCAGTTATGAAGTTTTATACACCAAAACATCTGGGTTGTTTCGATGACTCAGTTGTTGGGTTGGAGCAGTCGGGATCAAAGGTTGGGTCACATGTGTCAGACTCAAGGCCCAAGGGACAAATGTGGCTCTTGTTAACATCTTTTCTGGCCTCAAAGATATTTTAAACGTAAAATATCTCTATTGTCTGTCATTTTATTTAAAAACCTAGCATACTTCATTTAACACAGACTAACATGGTGGTCAACTTTGAAGTCAAGAAAAAGTTGTTTTTATTATTTAGTATTTTTTTTATTTTGATGTGTGACGAGCAACAAAGAACTTCACTTGAACCTGGAACTAAGAAAAGTTTCAGGTATCTCACTTGAGGTAATGTATTGGTTGACATTGACGCTTGGTTTGATATTTGAAAATTGGTTTTTAAATTTTGACCCCCTTTTGTAACCAAGTTTGACACCCCTGAAATATTGGGTCCAGTGGTTTTAGATGAGCCGTGTCGATCCTTCACTGTCCGCCATTTTGAGTTAGAAGTTGACCAAATCAGACCTGACTGAACCTCTGCTTTAAGAAAGTAAAAATGATAAATATAACCTGTAAGATGTTTAATCTGGTTGACTTTGTTAAAGACTTCAGTTTGCACTACAGACAGTAAGTTTGTGCTTGCTAATTGATGCTACAAAAAGTTAGCACTGGCAAGTTAGCACCAACTTACATTGGAACAATCTAAAAGGCAGATTTTGGCATGTTTTTATTTTTTTAAATCTTTTAGTAAAGTTAATTTAACCATTAAGTCATTTTGACCAATTCTTTTGGTTAGAAAACTAACCTGGTTCACTTGGTCAAAGTGATAACCCAACGTGGACTTGATCCAAATTTGACCCAAACTGAGTAATATTTAACCCTGTGGTTCTTAGTGTGTGGATGCAGCTTCTTCCCCTAAGCTCAGAACATTCCCCCGTGGCCATTCAGACTTTTATTACATTCAAATTTAAAGTAATTATTTTTTCCAGCCCTCTGAAGTTTCCCAAGATGATTTTTCTTTCCATGGAAAGTGAAACAGTGTCTGAACGTCGAGCGTGAAGCAGCTCCACTTTGGGTTTTACTCAAAGTATTTCAACTCAGAGATGAAAGCCGTCTTATCAGGGACCAGTTCTCAAACTGTTTACATCTCAGTGTGTATTTTTGATGCACGCCACCCAGTTGACCCAGTTGATGCAGCAGAACCTCCTGCTCCTTACTTGAGAAGGGGTGGGGTAGGGGGGATTCTCCTCCCCCGTCTCTCTCTTTCTCGTTTTTCTCGGAGGTCTGGAGAATGAACTCATGCTGACTGGATACAAGAGTGTGTAAGAGGATACCCTGCATCCTGTTGGCCCTCTCTCCCTCCAGACAGCAGGACCAGAACATCTCAGATCAGCCTCCTCGGCCTTCCTCTGCTCTGTCTGTGGGCTCAGGAAACAATCGTGTGATTTTCTTAACCTCCCCTGAAGAATAACCAGAACCAACATTTTTGATTAGTATGAAAACTGTGGCATTCCTTCTGAGGATGTTGAAGCACAATTTAACTTCTTATTCACATGTTTTAATTATAATCTTTGTTCTATGAGCCAGTTACTAAAATTCAAAATTAGTTAAAAAGGAATATATTAAACAAAATGAAATTAGAAACGTCTCATTGTGTCAAGTAATGAATTCTACACGAGCTGCAGATTTTTTCCACCTTAGTGTGAATTCTCAGACTGGGTTAAACACCATTAAGGTGCACAGTTTTCAAATTTTATTGGCCAGACATAAAAATTAAAAAAACCTCAGGGTTTTTTGAAACACTGTCTTTTGGAAAGTTTCTTTCTTTTTTCCCACTCTTTTTTGTGAAAATGCACACATCTGGAATAACAGCTGGAAGTATGGCATTGCTGTTTTAAAGTGTTAAATAAAAGGAGCCGTTTAAATATTATGTAATCTTTCCTCAGCAGAAGAAAATGCTTTTGTAGTATGAACAGGGTGCAGATATATTCATACATTTAACGGGTTCTTCATCTTTCTGACTGTGTAAATGTCGTGCATTGAATTTAACAGAAATGTAACGAGAAACGTTATTTATCTTTGACCCATCAAAATGAATGCGGTCATTTATTTACAGAATCAAAGTTTAACATCAAACATTTACATTAATTTGGCAAAATAT